ACCAAGGCATCCTGGAGCAATCTTAGAATTGGCCCATAGTTGCTAAGAGAACCAATAGTACTTACCAGGTGTGTTGTCTGAGTGAGCTTGGAAGGAAAAACTCCATTTGGCAGTAGGGAAGGGATGGACTTTGCAACAGGTGGTCTGCTCCTCTGAGTGGGCTGTGCCCCCTGGTGGTCCCTGAACCCTCATAAGCCCCACTCAGTATCAGGGAAGGGTGTTGGGCTCACTGACTTGGAAGCTCTCAGAGGGGAAAGTCCTAGTTGAGGGCTGTGTAGGGAATCAGTGACAGAGTCCAGAAGGAGAAAGGTTGACTGTACAGGGCTGGTGTGGCCCATCCTTTGCCCCACTGGCTCTCACTGGAGGGCTCTCATTTTGACTAGAGGGCACATGTCCTATGAACAGTGTCCATGGTCAGCCCCCTCTACCAGGAAGAAGTGGAGTGTCCCAGTCAGTCTGCTGGCCAGCACCTCTCTGGCCCTGTGCCAACACAGAAAAGGGAGGTGAGACTCTGGGGTGTCAGCTGAGAGTTGAGATCTATGACATCTGGGAATGGCTCAGCATCAACACTGAATTACTTTGGGCCCCAGCAAACCCTGCCAGCTGGCAGACTGTATGAAGTGAGGGGCATGACTGGCTACGGAGATTCCTCCCATTCCCTCATCTTCATGTACTCACTGGAACAATTCACAGTGCTCTTTGTGATGGGCCAGTTCTCTGCATGGCTAACCCCTGTGTGAATGCTCCACCTACCTGCTTCAACTGGAACCCAATGCTCCCAAGCTCCCAACCCAGTGCCCCGTGACAAGACACTACTGTTTTCTTTCATATCCATTTATCCAGGGCCACGTTGGATAGGTCCCTTCTCCGCAATCCCTGTCCCTCATCCTCTTCCATTTGGATCTGGAGCCTGAAATTGTTTTTAGTCTCCCCACCCCAGGCATTGTCTCCTTCTCCCTACACCGTATCAACCTCTTCCTAACTTCCTGTCGTGAGTATCTGGTCTCTTGTGTGTCCTTCTTCCTCCTCATTACTACTGTGTGGATGCAGCAGCCCATATTCTCTTCTCTCTCTTCCTGGACCCTCTCTTCTCTGACAGTGTGACCATGGCACCCACTGGGGAACTGATCTCTGTCAGAAGCCGACCCCTGGCCTCCGAAAAAGCTAATTAAGTTAAGTGGGGTCTCATTATCACGAATCCTAATCCAAAAGGACTAATATCTTTATAAGAAGGGGGGCTAGGACCCAGACCCACACAGAAAAATGACTGTGTGGAGGCACGGGTTGAAGCTGTCACCTGCAAGGCACAAAGAGAGGCCTCAGGAGAAAGCAGCCCTATGGATACCCTGGTGGTGGACTTCAGCCTCCTGAACCAGGAAGCAGTCCACTCTTGCTAACCACAGCCTTGTGACACTTTGCCATGCAGCCTGAGCACCATAGCAACGTCCTTGACTTGGATTCCAGCATCATGGCTACTGCTTGTCCTACCTGTCACCTAGTTCTAGTCAACAAGTCTGCTAACTCCAGGGACTCACCTCTCCTGAGTCTGAGAAGCTGAACTGTGTGTGCATGTATGCGTGTGTGCATGAGTGTGGGAGCGTGTGTGTGTGTGTGTGTGTACATTTGTAATAATGTTAATAATGTAATAATTATTACATTTGTAATAATGTTGTAATAATGTTAAGTAGCCTTTACTAAGCTTGGTGGTTCCCCAAACCCTCCTATGTGTGCCCAAAACAGTCTAAAAAAATCTCAGTATCATCCACAGGAAGTTTCATTCCCACTTCCCAAGAGGCTATTTTACATATTCCTCCATCTTTGGAATCCCATCCTCACTTCTAGCTCACACTGTAATTCTGCTCTTCCCTGACCAGGAGCTACCCCTGAGAGCGTCCTTATACTCCGGCATACCAGCTCAGATCCAGCAAAGGCCCCTTATCCCTGCTTCTACCTTCTTTCACCTTTGCAAACATTCCTCACTTTGCCCCCTCCCTCACTGGAAGTTCTCTCTACTCCATTCCTTTGTGACATTCCCCTCCCCTGCTACCCAGACTTCCCTAGCTCTTATCCTCTGCCAGAAATGTCCTATTATTTTGTTTTTTTAAAATTCCCAAATTTCAGGGCTGGAAAGATGGCTCAGAGGTTTAAGAACACTCCCTGTTCTTCCGAAGGTCCTGAGTTCAATTCCCAAAATTCCCAAATTTCTGAACAGTCTTCTACATGTGCTGGGTCTAGTCATTGACCACTCCACCAACAATTTCCTTCTGTTGTTTCTACCCACATTTGTGGTGGTAATTCCTACCCTCTAGGCAGAGCCTTGTCAAGCTCACAGACAGGGCCAAGGGGCAAAGCTCAGTAGCTCCTCTTGGAGCTGTTCTTTCTCAAGCTCTCAACAGACTTCCATGTGGTTGGACATGCTCTCCTCCTCCCCTTTCCAATCTCCTGGTTTTCCTGCACTTGCCTGGCTGTTTCTCACTCCTTTTGCATCTTTCTCTGATTGACCCCTGAGACCCTGCTCCGTTTCTAGATGATCTCATCCAGGCTCATAACTTTAAACATTACTTATTACTTGGGTTCCACTGCCTTTCAAATTTACAACTGTCTGATCTCTCTCTCTCTCTCTCTCTCTCTCTCTCTGGAGTTCCACACACATACATCTAGCATGACACCTCCACTGAGATAACTCAGGGTGCCTCAGATCAAATGTGCTTGGACAGGATCTCTCCATTCTCAGCCCACTCCCCATCTCAGCAAATGATACCAGCTTCCACTTAGTGGATCAAATAAGGAACTCAGGGCTCTCCCTTCCCTTTCCTTCCTGATGATGCTCCTCCACTGGGACCTGGCTAGACTCACCCACATCTTTTCATTTTCACCCTCAGCCCTCGCCCATGCTGCTGCCAGCAGTTTGGAAACAGAAATAATTTCTGAACCGGCTTCCTTGTGTTCCCTTCTGAGGCCGCTCCAGGGAAGAGGGAGTCACTCTGGGAAGAACTGGTTTTCTATTGTGCAGAGACACTGCCAGTGGTGCTAATTGGATTAATTGATTTGCCCAAGGGGAGGTGTGTGTGTGTGATCTCTTTCTGCTGAACTTCCTTTAAAAACAGCACTTCCATTCAGAAAGCCAGATCAAATGCCATTAACAAATTAATTCTGATTAGTGCTGCCCAAGCACTCAGACCTTAAGGCAACCCCATTCAGTCATCCTGGGCCTGGCCTGCTAATAAAGTGGAAACTATCTGGGCAGCAGAGGTGATTATTTTGATGCCTGTCTCTATGCCCAGAGGGAAAAAGAGTGGGGTGTGATTTCACTACAGTATCCTAGGGGAATTAACTACTTTCAAATTCTAAGTTATTAATTCCCCAACATGACAGTCATATCCGTGAAAATGGACCTGGGGCACAGATTTCTGTGCTCTCCGCAGCCCTCCATTTAGGACCAAGTACTTAGCAGGTACTCGGCATTTGGAGCACAATAATTAATTAATTGGTAAGTGGTAAATATGTCTGGCCCTGGTATTCTTCGTAAGCCTTTGTCATTTTCCTTAACAGGTGTAACTGAACTACTGCTGTCTATTGGATTTGGACATTAAACCAAACAGGCCCCTGTCCTCAGATGGTAGCGGTGGGGGGAGGGGGAAGGGCAGAGCATTTTACCAGACAAAGGCAGAGCTTCCTGCATGATAGCAAGTCATTCAAGACAAGAAAATAGGTCAAGGGAACTGTAGGGACGGCTGAGGGGGAGGGGTTAGTTCTTTCCGAGGAGGACCCGAGTTTGGCCCAGTACCCACCCGTGAATGGTGGGTCATAGCTGTCTGTAACTCCAGCTCCAGAGATCTAGTGCCCTCTTCCTGATGCTATGGGTACCCGCATTCATGTGTACCTTCCCACACACACCCAGGGATGGGGAAGAAAAATTACAGTAAATCTTTAAAAAGTGGAGACTGTGCTGCTAGCAAGGAAGAAAGCTTGGGGAGGGCCTGAGGCCCTGACATCAGAGTTGATCTTGGCATGGTACCAGAAGCCAACCAACTCTGGGGGAAGAATTTTCTAGGAAGGGGCCTGGAAAATCCAAACACTTGTCATCTGGGAGCCAGGGCCCAGTACACCTGACTGGAACAGGCGTCTTTGCTAAGCAGTTGCTCTTCGTATGATTCCCAGAACAAGGCAACATGTTCCTAGTATTTGGATGACTTTGTCCTCACTGACTTATCTGCCTAGATGTCATCCTCCACCCGGCCTGCTTTTCACACTTTTTTCCCAACAAAGCCTTCCCAACCCTGTTTGAAAGTGTCCCTTCTGTTCTCTGAAGTCCTTGGCCATCTCTGTGGTACCTGCTGCCCCTATTTCTTCTTATGGGTAAAGATGACATTCCTGTGTACTTGGACTCCCTCCTGGTGCCTTCTCTTGTTCTGCTCCTGTCACCGGGTTGCACGGGGCAGAGACTTTGTCCTATCTGTCTCTCATACCCTAGATCTAGCTCAGTCATCTCAGTTACACACACATACACACCCAGAGAGATGGACTCTTCTAGCAGTGATGTATAGGATCTTTTAAATAGGAACATGGGTCGGGTTGAAGATGAAAAGTCCTGACCAAGAAACCAGGTGAAGAAGGAGATACTCCCAGCAGAGGTCTTTACATCATCTGTCTGCTTTTCCAGAGACTCGAGTCCCCAAATGAACGCCACCAGTAAAACAGCTGCTAGCTGTCTCCAGCCCTCCTCTCTCTTAAAACCTCCTGCACTAGATATTTCCAGATGACCCACAGTTCTGGGCCTCCTTTATCTCACCCAGGAAGCTAGAGTATCATCATATAGAATGCAAAAGTACAACAGGTAGATCCGTTCTGTTTCGGACTCCCCACTGTTCCTCCCTGAGCTGGAGGTCTGAGCTTCCCGCGCTACGGCTGATGGGGATGAGATTGCGCTCTTAACCCAGGAGGAGGAAAAGCCAATGGGCATGAGGATGAGATGGAGATGGGCTGGTACTGCAGCTAACCTTTTAAGAGGACCGTCCTGGCCTTGGCCCACTCGCTCCTCCCGTCTGACGTCAGCAGGCCGATTGGAGGCAAGCGTTCATCCTCGTTGGACGCCATTTTGACTATCTTTCTCAACTGAGTGAACAGATCACCCTCACTGAGACGGCGGAAATTAATGACAACATCCAAGACAAAGAACTGTGGGGGAAACAGGTCAAAGACATCACTTGTGGCAACCGGCCCAAGGCTCCAGGCCTGCACGGAGCCTTCACAGAGAAGCTCAGGCCCGAGGTTCCCGGGGTGTTTAATGGTTCTGAGTTGTCTCGTTTTGGAGAGGTTCCAAAACTGTTGACTGTACTCAACTCCAAACTCTCCCTAGCACAGGCTAGATTAAACCTAGCTGTGAGAGAGCTTTTTCCTTCCTTCTTTTTTTTTTAATGTAAAAAAATATATATTTTTTGTGGTGCCCAGGGCATGCAAAATCATCCCGTCTGCAGAGTCAAGTATAAATGGGTACAACTACTGTTGAAAGGCAGTGTCAATCAAAACTGAAAGTGTTTGTCAATGACCCAGCAGCGGCATGTGTATACGCAGACTGTAGCCTCGGGCTTAGAGAAGCACCTCCGTGTGCACCGGACAAATATGAAGGACTATGTGCAGATTCGACCTTTTGATTTAGCAAAGCAGTAGAAAGCCTGCCTGTTCTTTTGGAGTGGGCTGGGTAAGTAAAATGCAGTGTACCTATCCAGTGCACTGTGAACTAGAAGGCAGCTATACACAGAGCTGTGGGTATAGAGCTAAGCAGCAACAGCAAGCCAACACACCAAATGCTGGGTATCGCCTGAGCACATGCATCTGTGCATGCGTGAGCTTGGCGTGTATGCCTTGCAGCGCTGTGATTCTACAGCTCTGAAAGCCAGAGCCTTGCACTTGGTAAAGGGTCTCTTTCTCGAGCACAGCCTGTCACATCCTTTTCCGTATACAGACATAGGCAATTGCCCCACCCATCACCCTCATCGAAGACCATGAAGTCGGAGCTGTGGCTGTTTCCAGAAGGCTTGGCTAAGGTGCTGAGTGGAGGCTGAGGAATGCTTGTTTTGACTTTCTGTGAATGAAGATGAAGAAAGGTTTTCATCTTGTGGCTGACTGGTCAGGGTGTTAAATGGGCTGGGATGACCCCTGCTAGCTGTTAGGCCCTCAAACAGTGGTCACAGCTACCTCAGAGGACAGATCTTCCCCAAGCTCTCAATCTACTGAAAGGAGGCCAGGAAGAAAATATTGGACAATGAGTAGGGTGGTGGGTAGGGGGGCAGGGCTAGGTGTCAAACTTAAACTTTCAACACAAAAAGACAGAAGACCCCAACCCTCACTTTTTGTCACAGGAAATATTTTTCAAAGCAGCAGCGTACGGGATGTGTGGTATGGTAGGCACCAACAGGGTCGGTAGCCTTCATGCTTAGCTTGTGCCCCTGCCAAGGGGACCCTTACTGGCCCTGTAGAACCATGTCTGACAACCTGAACTTTAGAATAGAGCCTGGCCTTGGGCAGTTGGTGACCTGGAGTCCTTCCTCTTATATACCATTAGCTTCCTTAAGCCTCACCTTCTTGGCTGTCAAATGAAGGCTCAAAGGCCTACTGGGTTATTGTAATTAAATGAAATTAATAAATGTAAGTTCTTGACCCACAGTCTTACACATGGGAAGTCTTGGCCATTAGTCCTTACTCTGTCCATCTACCTAGTCTCCAGGAAGGACATGGATTATGTGAAAACAAATAGCTGTGAAGGTGAAGGGCCCAAGGCCATACTGGACCTCATTCATGACCTTAAGTTTTTGCCTTCTCAGAGATAAGAAGCCAAGGGCCTCATTCCCAAACTGAATATTCTTTCCATTCTTAAAATACAGCTGCTGGAGAGAATGGACTGACCGAGTAGGAAATGCTACTGTATGACATGGGGAACCAGCCTGTGCCCTTGTGAAGATGCAGGAGTGGGTAGGTACCCCTAGGCACTATATGCTCTGTACCCCCTCCAAGTCTGAGAGCCTTTGACAATGGGCCACTTACCTGGCTGCAGCAGGCCACGATGACATGTTCTGGCTCAGGCATGATGCTGCTCTTCTGGGCCACCAGTGTGTCCTGGGTATGGCCAGGAAGCCGGTAAGAAGAGAAGAGCCTATAGTACTGCTTCATGCACAGGGGCTGCCCTGAGAGCTGGCCCTTGGCCCAGTCCGTGGGGAGGGAGTGGCTGGAAGCAGAGAGCATAAGCAAGTCAGGCAGGCGGGAGTGAGAGGACAGAGATGAGGAGAAGGCCTTGGGGTGGGTTCTATGGTAACCTTATTTTTTTCTTTTTGAAGGCTTTTACACCAAACCTTCAAAAAGGGCCGTATGCAAACCAAATGCTCTGCCACTGGCCTACTGCCCTGTCCTTCCTTGTTACGGTTAGGCTAGTGGCACACCAAACTTACAACAGCACTGCTGCAGGGCTTTTCTTCATCTGGTGATGTGATGGAATGTTCCATTTCCGTGGCCCATGGAGCACCTCAGGATTTCCACAAATCTCCATAACTCCATCCTCACCCCATCCTCAGGCAATGCATATGTAATTTTTGCCTTTTAACACTCTGTGCCTTTGCTTACACCAATCTTTTCTTGGCAAACCTTTCCCTCTACCCCTGTACTACACTGTCTTTTTAAGAAAACTCTTCTTTCAAGAGTCTATTCTTTATTTCTATTCTTGAAACCTTCTCAAAGTTCAAAGTAGAAAGTTCTTTTTGTCATGTGGTTTCTGAATGATATGTCTATCATTCCACCTGTCCATCCATCCATCCGTCTGTCCATCTATCCATCTAACCATCCATCCATCCACCATGCATGTTCAGTCATCCATCTACCTTTCCACCCATTTATCCATGGAATCTATCTATTCATCCATTCATCCATCTTTCCATATATGCATCCATCTATTATGCAATACATAATACAATCTTCACTACAATCATGTATTCTTCCATCCATCCATTCATCCATCCATCCGTCTACTCATCCAACATCCCACATACATCTATCCATCTCCCATTCAACCACCCACAGATCTACCATGCATCCATCCATCCATCCATCCATCCATCCATCCACCATACAACCACAGCCATCATGCATCCACCCATCTACCTATCATCTAGCCATTATACATCTATCCATTCACATCTAGTCATTCATCCACATACTATCAATGCATCCAACCATACACCACTGTCATGCATTGACACGTGTTAAATGTGCTGTGCAAATGTGTTCAGGTAGCTTCTTTCTGATCTGTCTGTCTGTTTACATGCCTTCCTTGACATTATGCCGTCCCTGCCCCTCTGAAAACATAAGCCAAAATAAACTCCTCTTTCTGTAAGTTGCTTTCGACTGTGACATTTTATCACAGCAGCAGAAAAGTAACTACTGCATCATTCATTCATCTGCTTCTTTTTTTGTGCATACTTTCATCCACCATTCTAACAGACATGTAACTATCTACCACCCATGCATTCAGCTACCGCTCATCCAGCAATTCGTTCACCCACCTACCATGCATACATACACACATCCATTCATGTACTCATCGAGTATTTATCCATCACTATCCATCCACCCACTGTGCAGCCAATCGTCTACTATGCAATCATATACTCAGCATCCATCTATATACTGACCTGCTCTTCACCCATTAACCTATTTAGTCTTTCGTTCTCTCAGCTTCCAAAGTTTGCTGAACCACTTTTATGCCAGGTACTATTTTGTGCTCTGGGGAATATATCAGGAAGCAGACACAATTTTCCTACTCTGACTGGGTCTGGGTCCTGGGATGTATTGCTGGGAAGTTTGTTGAAGATTGGCAATCAGGAGGATGTCAGGCAGATTGAACGACTGGCAGGGACAGGAGTCCAGGACTAAGAGGAAGTCTTATTACTGCTTGCTTGACTGAGCTGATCCCAAAGAGTAAGAAGCTTCAGGGCAGATGGGCTAGCAGATAGGCCCACAGCTATGCCACTCAAAGTGAGGATGTTCACGGAAGCTTCGTAACTGACCTGTGATGAGATGCGTGCTAGAATCCAACAGCGTCTGTAGCAATGGTGGGGTTTTATGCCAATTGAATTCAATAATAAAGCATGCAGTCTTGTATTTTACACTTTTGTAAATCTTTTCTAGTAATTATATTTTTTTGTTGTGTTTTACGAGATTTGAAAATAAAGACCCTTCTCCAGAGACAGTTTGCAGCTTATCAGTGGACCAGTGGAAGGCAGGAAGTAAGAGTAAAGAAAAGGCTGCAAAAACGGACGCAGACAGGCCCCTAGGCTGTGGGCAGGGTAGAAGTTGGCAGCTTATGCTGAGGCATTAAAGAGCCCCTGGCAGCTTTGACATGCCCAAGCATGATTGAAATTATGTTTGTTTTTGTCTTTTGGAGCTAAGGGTTGAACCCAGGGCCTCACCCATGCTAAACACACACACACCATCACGGAAACACAGCTTTCCCAGCTCTGGTTTTCATGTGTGTGTAGGTTGGGGTGGGAGTGTATTTGACTTGTCAGTACTAAGGACTAAACCCAAGACCTCACCCATGCAAGGCAAGTGCTCTGTCACTGAGCTACATTCCCAGAATATCCTGTCCTGTTTTGCTTTTTAATGGCTTTGCTTATATACGTAAAGGACCAAAGTCTGTCCCAGGAAGCACCAGGAAGAAGACTCCAGCCAAAGTGGGAATATAATGTGGACCAGGTAGGAAAGGTGTTTGCGAGCCAGCCGGGGTAGGTGGTGGTCGCCTCTGAGCACCATGGATGCCGTGGAGGGAGAAAGAATGACCACAAGAGACTCCTGGACCCACCAATCAGGATGCCTGTACTGAGAAGGCAGGATGGGAGGGTGAGTGCACACAGGAGAAGCATACAGAGCTCTACTGGATCCCTTTGCAGTAACCAGGAGATGCCCCTGTGAGGCTGCCTGGGGCTCAGGTTTGAGGAAAAACCAGGGTTTTATTTAGTGTCCATCTGAATGGGTAAGAGCCTAATTTCTCCTCATCTTTTGAACATCAATACACTGAAAGTAAAATACACCGAAGAGTAAATCCTCAAGTGTCCTAGCCAGACACTCTTTAAAATGTCCCAGCCTTATGATATTTGCAAGTACAGGACACATGAACCATCATGTGGGCTTGCATGGAAACAGGCATTTGTGTGCATGCATGTAATGTGCTCACAAACACACACCCATGTACACACACCCACGTACACACACACACACACACACACACACACACACACACACACACACACACCTGTACACTCGAGAGTGGTGTGGCTCCATGGTCCCCCCTCCACTCTGCAGGGTGCTAAGCGGGACAGGCTCTCTGAAGACAGATGCTGGGTGAATGGAGGAGTAAGCCCTTTGAGGCTCAGTCCGAGGAAGAAGGAAAGCTCTGGAAACATGGCTGCAAAGGGCAGCCCACAGGCTTGGCAGCCCCGTGTGGAGACAGAGCTATCATACTGGCCTCAAGCCAGTGCTCTGTCTAATACACAATTCAGATTCAGGTGTGATGACCCCAGGGCCTGAGCCTTGCCTCTCTGACCCTCTTTCCTGGGGACAGAGCTTAGTTTCTGTCCCAAGATTGGGTAAACACTGACCTGGATCTGCATAGAACAGAGAGTGAAGACTGCTCTTGTGCCCTTCCACTTCTTAGCTGTGTGGCTGCAGATAAATTACTAGACCTCTCTGAGTGTCACTTCCTTATCTATGCATAGGACACTGCTTTGGGCCCTTCATTCATTCCAGCAACCTGTAGCTGTTTGCTCTCGCTGGTGGTCCCAGTGCCCTATGGTTGGCTAGGAGGGGGACTCTTCTCCTAAAATTAAGAGCTCACTGTTTTCGTAGTTCCCATCACCTGTGGGAGGACCCCATGTTCACTGAGCTGGGGTGGGCATGTGGACACTAAGGCTCAAAGAGGGGAGACCATCATCCCCATGGCAACGCTTAGCTTACCACCACCTCCCCTATCACTGCTTCCTTCTCTACCCTTCCCGGGATCTTCAGACCCAAACTGTGCAATTCACCCACAGGAGGAAAGAAAAGGTCCCAAGGGAGGGACATTTCAGAGAAAGGCAGTGAGGACAAGGCAGCCAAGCAGGGCCCTACCCCTCCCAGGCCGGGGCCCTGGCCTACCTGTCCAGCAGAGCCTTGTAGCTGAGCACACCAGAGATGAGGCTGGCTGCAAATCTGCAGGGACACAGAGACACTGAGGGGTGCCAGCCAGCCCCCCACCCCCACCCTCCCACCTTTCCCTTATTCTTCCTAACTTCCTCCTCCCTCCCTTCCTCCTTCTATGCTCTCCATTCCCCTCCCTCTGCTCCTAACTCACCCATCTATTGCCTGCCATATGCCAGGCCCCATGTACACTAATGGGATGTGGGTCGTGCTGCCCCTCCCCCCAGGGCTGTCAGCCCACCACAGCCTTGGATTAAAATATGGTCCTTTGGTGAGGACTGGGGGCGGTTTAGCTCTGGAGGTGGTGAGAGGAAGGAGAGTCACATTGCAAAGGAAGAGGTGCCTGGAGGAGTGGCAGAATGAGTGGCAGGAAAGGGAAGGTGAGGGGTGAAGTTCCCCCAGGGCAAGGCCAACGCTGTGTCTGGTCTTCTGGGAAATGCAATCTCCTGGGACAAAGCCTGTGTTTTGAACCCTCTTAGTGGCTAATGAAAAGGAAAGTGAGTCCTGGGAGAAATGCCTCAGGGCCCAGTGCCAGGGGACAGTGCCATCTTAACTGTCTATGGATGATGAGGCCTGGCTTAATTGCATAGGGGGAAAATGCCCCTCAGATGCAATTTGGAGAACTCTCTTCAGAATCCATCCATCCTCTTTCCTCTTTCTAGGGGGGAGGAGGACAATGGGAGCTTGGCCTGGGCTGTGCCTCTGCTCCCATTGAGACATTTTATCCTCTTAGGATAAAATTCTGACAGACTCCAACAGGAGACCCATCTTTCCTGCCCCTACCCACCGCCACCACCATTCTCAGTGCACCTAGAGGCCTTTCCAGCGGCTCACTGAGCTCTGAAATTGCAACAGATGGCAGCTGCGCTGGCACGGAGAGATGTCCCTCCCCCAGGAGTCTGTTTGGAGCAGGGCTCCAGGGGGCACAGAGGAATTCTCAGGCACCTGGAGCAGCGTGTCTCAGTCAGGACTACTTTTAAATGACAGCTCACCGAGTCAGGTCAAGACTGCGGTGTGGGTCCCTGGGGCCCTTGGCCCTTATTAGCTCCATCAAATAAATGTGCTTTGGGAAAGACCGTGTGTTTATTACTGAGTTTTACCATGCCTAACCTCCCCCTGGCCTGATGGTGTCGAGAGAAGATGTCTTGTCTTAACTTGGCCCCAGCAAGCTCAGCCATTGCACCAGCTTGGGGCTCTCCTTCCTGGCATGAGGCTTGGCCCCACATCTCTGGTGGGTTCCTCTGCTGTGCACCCAGGGGCATCATGGCCTCACCTTAGCTGGTCATTGGTGTCTTGGAAGTGCTGCCGAGCAAAGATCACAGCAGGGCTAGAGTTGACTGGCAGGGCCAGGCGGTTATTGAGATACATGTCATTCAGCCAGTATTCAGATACCTGCCAGAAAGCACAGGGAGGGAGGATTACCCTGACATCTGGGACCCTACCCACCCTTTCTAAACAGACACTGTCCTAGCAGAGGTCATCCATCCTGTTCTGCCTACCGTAAATTAAAGCCCTTGGTGGATAATTCATCCATCCCCGTCTGTCAGTCCGTTCATCCATCCATCCATCTGTCTATCTCACAAATGCACTAAGCCCTAGCTGTGTGTTGAGCCTGCATCTTCCCAGTCCTCCAAGCCTGCCCTTCATCTTCACCGCATATCATCTCCTTTGTTTCTTCCTCTTCTCCCCAATTTAGTGGTACATCCCTGCCACTACCTGTCCTTGTGCCTTAGCCCTACTTGTCACCCCCACTCTGCCTTCTAAGCTCATCTCCATCCCCATTTTCCCCTGTCCCTAGCTGTGTCCCGTCTTTCCCAGGCTCTCACTTGTCTTCACCTGTCATGCTCTGTCCTCCTCTTTGCCCAGTCCCACCCCTTGCCTCATCTTGCCTGCCTCTCTCCCTTGTAGCCCAACCTATGCTACCACTCCATTCCCATCTATCAGTCATCTCCATCTTCCCCCAACCCATCTACTTTGGCTCTTACCCTTCCCCACATAATTTTCCTCCTCCCCTCTCCAGAGGTCTTTTGTTAGCTTCTGTTAGGAAGCCTTACCCAGTTGGCTGTTTTCTCCTGCCTCTCCAAGAGTTTTTCCTGCAGGGTCTCACCCAGGCCACCAGGGGCCCCAAACCTCTTCACGATGGCCTGGCTCTTCCTGAACTGCTCTTCTGGTATGAGGTGCTTCATACACTGCAGGTAGGTGGCCAGTGTTTGCTGCAGTGGGGGCACTGGCAATTTGGGTAAGTCCTGAAAAAGAGGGTTCATGAGTTTTCACTCTCTCCCTTTCTTTAATATGGTCCATACCTGTCCCTGAGCTGATGCCAGAACAGGTCTCATTCTGTCCCATCCCCATTCACCATTCTGGGATCTGTTTACTGGGCTTAGCTTAGCAGAATTGTGAATTAATGCCCTCCAGCTTGCAGTCCCCACCCCTGTACTGTACCCACATCTCAGGAAGGCACAAAATGCAAATAGGCTTGGACTCACACCCTGGCCCTGCTGTTGGCATCCGACAGACCTGGGTTCATACCCTGACCTTGCTGAGAATCTCTTGTATGCCCTTGGGAAAGTTCTCCCTCTGCAGGGGCCCAGCTCCTCCGTGAAAAATGATCCTCTCACAGGACGGAAGGGATGACAGATGTGTGTGTGCTGAGCGCCCATGAAGGATGGGTCTGAGATGAAAGATCATTGGCGATATTGCTGACTGCTGGTCACTCTTCACGTAGGAACCCCTCCCTCCCAGCTGGTGCTCCAGAGCCTGCGTGCTCTCTGGCCTGGAAGATGCTATTCTTACACAGGGTCAAATGGGCTAAAATGGCTTTGGGTGGGGTCATGGCCAGCTTCCTGGAGAGGCTTCCTAGGGCAGTGGCTATTTCTGTTCTGTGCCTCTTGTTTCATGCTTCCAGGTATGAAACCCAGGCAGGGCATGGTTCTATGTCGGGAGAAGAGTTAGGTAGGAGAAGGGGGAACTCTTTCTTGCCCAGATCTCCACATAGGAGACAACAACTCAACCAACCTGATGGACCCCAAGAAAATGAAAAGAGAGAAATATAAGGCTGCAACAAACATACATTATGTTCTTTTAACTGGCTTTATCCCTCCAAAGGGAATCCAAGAAGAAGCCTGTGGTCTCTGAGCTCCAAGTGAGGCGAGAGTCAGAAAGGAACCCCCACTGGGATCTTCCCACATGGGCACGGTTTGCTCCAGTTAATCAACCGTGGCTGACCAGATGTCTTGTGGCTTGTGTCTTCAATGTGTCATAGCCAGGGCTGGGATTTTTACCATTATAGATGAGGAAACCAGAACCCATAATATGGAAAGACTAATCTTAGGTCATATAGTAAATTTTAGCCCATTTATTTCATCCTCTCTCTCTCCTCTCCCCTCCCCTTCCCTCTGCTCTCTTCTCTTTTCCTGTTCCAGGACCTTGCACATGCTAGGCAAGTGCTGTCCCTGAGCTATACTCCCAGTTCATTTCCCCTTCTTTTTCCGGGGGGGGGGGCTTTCCTCTCCTCTCCTTCACTTCCTTCCTTCCTTCTTTCTTTCCTTCCTTCCTTCCTTCCTTCCTTCCTTCCTTCCTTCCTTCCTTCCTTCCTGTTTCCTGTCTCTCAGCCCTTAACAGAAGAGAAGCCAGATTTTAAAAGCCATGTTAAATTGTGCAGTTGGCACACAGCAGGGTTCCTTTCTTCAGGGGTTTCTTCTCTGTGAGGTGGTGAGTTGAGTTTCTGGAGGGTAGCCAAGGGCTCCCCCTACACTGGTGGCCAGCTGAAAGTACCCGTCTTCTCCTGCGGCTTAGTACCGATGGGTGGATGAATCCCCACCTGTCTGGTCCTGTCTCTTGAGCACATTGCTCTGGCTGGAGGTGGTGTCGGCACCAACCCCTGGTGCTGTCGCCCTGGGGACAATGCGAATACAAGGACAGGTCTGGACAGTCTCCTATGTTGTTGAGTCCACTCCAACCAAACCAGGTTGAGCTCCATCCCCTCCTCAACCACTCTGCTTCCTCCTCTTCATAGGGGTCTGCGTGGCTGGAACAGGCAAATATCTTCAAAAAGCATAGACCAGCTGATGGTCTGGCCAGGAGGGGTGGAAGGTTTGACCAGAGTGCCTGGGTCTCACAGACTTTGCTGTGGCAAAGTCTGGGTGAAAGGGAAGCAGTGATGGGTAAAATGGAAAAATCTTAGTGTAGGCATCTCAGCTCCAGCCATGCTTCCTCCTTTGACTCTTGTGGAGCCCCAGCCTTGTGTAGACTTGGGATTCTGTAGTCTCTGCAAATTTCTGGGTGGCTTATATGAACCAGGCCGTGGGCTGCTCTTAGAGACGGGGGGAGGAGAAGATGCCAGCCCTCTAGAAAGCCACATCCCAGTGCTGGGGGAGAAGAGGGACATGCCATGGACGGTGGCAGCAAAGGTATGGGTCAGCTGTAGAGGTTGGGGCACTGTAAGGAGCAAGTTCAATGGCAGAAAACAGAAGATTCTGACAGGGCCAGGGAATGGGTGAGAAAAGTGTAGTGGAGGAATCAGCGCATGCAAGAACTTGAACTGAGACACACTGCCCTATCTCTGGAAGGCTCGATGGAGCAGGAGGGAGGCTGCCTGCCCAGGAAGGCTGCCCAGGAAGGAGAGTGTTGCTTCAAACCAGTGGAAAAGATGATGCTTGGGTGTCCTTGGGTTGAACCAGTGGCAACAGCAGGAGCCGGGATGTGTCATGGCTTGGGAAGAAGATTCAGCCTTGCCTAGGCAGGCGCATTGGGTTTAAAGCCATCTGAAGTAGACTTTGGGGTACAGTGAGGTTGGGGGACTTGAGGGAGATAGCACTTGACTGCTGCCAGGGGCTCTCCTTGGATTTGTGAGCAAGAAGTGTAATTATCTGCATCCCCAGCACCCTAAGGCTATAGCTGACATTTAGAAACTTGTTTGTCCCCCCAAAACACTGGCACCTCACCTGGGCCACAAGGTAATAAGGGTGGGATGAAAGCCTGGAACCTTTGACTTCATTCCGTGTGTGTTCCCTTTACTTTGGGTCGAACTCCTGCTGGATTCTGCACGTAGGCATAATAACCACTCAAAGAGTAACTGTCTTTAAAAACAACAACAGAGAGCACAGCAGCAATATCTAAACTAGCTAACCCTCTGCTTAGCTGAAAGAACAAAGAGGGGCTTAACCAAGTGGAGGCAGATGCAGAGGCAGGCAGATCTCTCTGAGTTTGAGGTTAGCCAGGTATTCAGAGCAAGCTCCAGGAGAGCCAGGGATACACAAAAAAAAGAAACTCTGTCCCCCAAACAAAAGCAAAGCAAAACAAAAACAACAGGAACTTGATTATCTCTCATGGATTTTCCAATGCTCTTTTCTGGACCTTCCAAATGTGCCTAAACCTTTCCAGTCATTGTTCTAAGCATCAATTATCTTGCATTCCCAAAACAGGGCTGTCAGAAGCCTTATAGAACAGATACTTCTTCAAAGCAGAGCAATTATCCACAATAAGGAAGCTTCCCTCTAGACCAGGAAAACACCAGAACCAAAGTCCTTTCCCCCAATGGCCACAGTAACAACTTCTCCTGACTATCCTGCAGAATCATGGCTGAGACAACGATCAGACCGCGTCTTTAATCTCGATCATGGCTGCTTAACTGCACACACACACACACACACACACACACACACACACACACACACACACCAGATATCAGGACATACTCATATATCCTGATTGTTCCTCTAAAATCTCCAATTTATGGGCATGCCTTGAAGATAGATTTAGACTCACTGGGCCTCTTTACCTGTTCATCTTCCCAATGTGTCAACTGATGATTCTTTTCTTTGCCTTTATAATATACCGTCTTTTTAATTTATATATTGAGGACAGACAGCTGAGTCTAGACCATGGGGACTACTGGAACTGGAACTGGGATTTTTGTCCTAAACCTCCAGTAACAAGGCTTCTGGACTTCCAGGCCCAAGCAGACTCCTCTGAAGGACAGCGCAGGGCTGTCTCTGCCCAGAAGAATACAGAGCTGGGAACAGTTGAGGTCCAGGGCCGCTCTAGACTGTCCTGGGAATAAGAGTGTGTAAGAAGAGAGATCAGAGATAATACATGTGGCTCAAAAGTTCCTCACCAGCTCCTCCTCACAGCCAGAAGTTTTTACAGGCGTCTTTGGGGGGACCTTTTCCAGGATGGGCATCTTGGGGACTCTTGCTCCAGAGTAGCAGAGCTGTAGACCTGAAAACACAGGAGAAGCAGCATCACAGAGAGTCACTTAGGCCTAAATGAACCCTATAGCCTTACCCCCATACAGTAAGGCAGCCAGAAACTGACAGTAGTATATAAGGACCTCAGTGCTAAAGTAACTGCCACCTCAGACCTCAGCCCTGCGCCCCTGACCACAGTGACCTCTCCGAATCTCAAGTTGGGAGAGTAAGTCCTGCCTTAAGCCACGAGCTGAGACCTGCTTTGATAAAGCCACTGTCCTCGAGGCTAGCTGACCACCCCAGCTTGCACGGGGAGGAGCTGGGCTGGGGTTGCCCACTCCCAACCTACCAAGGTCATTGCACTAGCTTTGCCTTGCCTGGACTGCAACTGACACACCCCGGGCCAGTGTCCACCCCCCCCCCCCCCCAGACTAGTTCTCTAGTGAGAAACCTTATCTGCTGTGCTCAGACTTCCCTGTAGGATGCCTGGCCGGGGTCTGCTATGGGGTGGAGGGGCTGTGAGCTCAGAAAGCTCTGCACCCTGTGTGTGTTAGTGTTATGAGTGTGTACTTGAATGCCCTCAAGGATTTTAAAGCCCTGTATTCTGGGTGACATTCTGGGCTACTTGAGGACCCTGGGGTCTACTGTCAGAGTGATGACTTGGGTAGTCTCTGGGCAGCAGGCTCCAAAGGTGGGTGCAATGGGAATATGGAAGGACACGGTACTGGAGAGTGGGAGTCGTGGCCTCTAGCTTCTGCTGACAGCCTCAGGTAAGGCAGATCAATTTGGAAGGTGTGCTAGAAATAAGCCAGGCTAAGTCACAGGCCAGTTCTTAGAGCTGTGGGGTCTACCTTCTGCCCCACTAAACCAAAAGCTGCATAGACAGTCAAGATTTCTACCAGCCTACACTTTATTCTCCCTCAAGGGGCCAAAGCTGATGGTTAGCCTGTTGGGCGACCAACAGCAGCCTCAGACTCAAGCCCAGCCAGGTACCAGGATGAGGCTCCATTCATCCTGGGGAGAGACCATCCAGAAAGCTGGAAGAATCAGGCCCAAGGCTAGAAGAGTTTGGCCCCACTGAACAGAAAGGCCTTGTGGGTCTGGTACAGTGCACTCCCAAAACAATAGTCCTTGAGCCCAACTCTGCCTAAAAATTGCCGGAGGAGTATGACGCTGCTCTGTTGAGGGGTCAACCAAGACAAGGTCAGGTTAATGAAGGCTCTACCGATTGTGCAGTAAATGTTTCCTTTTGTACCATCTCAGCGGTGGGAAGGGGAACACACTGGCTGGGCCTCAGTGACTTCATATCTTGGGGAGGAGAATGGACCCCTTCCAGCTGACAATATGATGGGTGTCCCACTGTTCCCCACAGCTCCTTCCTCCTTAGCTCCTCGGCCCAGGCTTACCGAGTTTATATGTATTTGTCTAGCTACGGTTCGGTATCCTTCCATTTCTGCTCCTGCTGGCCTGGCTTATGGGGGCTACTGGAGGGGCCTCTGCTTTGCCCTGAAGGTCCAACACTAGTCTGAGCTGGTTTCCTAGGTGCTGCAGCTCCTGCACCTCCGCAGGCACTCCCCACCTTCCCTGAATGGCTGGAGAAAACTGGGATCCAGGGATAACACCAGTGGCCCCTGGTACCGGACACCAAAACCACGAACCTCGGGCTTGACAGATGTAGGTGAAGTAGGACCGTAGGTGGGCGGTAACGATCAGAGGGGTCCTAAGCCTTTATAATCAAGCCCTCCCGGTCCAGGCATCCTGGCAGCGGAACCCCTCAGCCTCCTGGATGTTCCCGGAAGACCATTGGAGCCTGGGAAGCTGTAGACTCTGAGCGACCCAGGGCCTCTGGGCCTGGGAGCTGTCCCTCCGTGGACAGCACCTCCGGAGGGACAGAGCCTGGGTCCACGACGCTCCGTGGCTTAGCTCTTCGCGCCGCTGCCCAGCCCTCCTCACCTGCTCTCCTGGGCTGCTCCGCGCCCCCGAATCCGCGCTACTCCACACCAAGCAGGGCTGGAGGCGGCTGTGTGAGCCAGGGGTAGCGGCAGCGCCAGAGACTGGGGCTGCCTCCCAGGTCTGTAGTGGAGCCTCCGACGACGTGGCCGATCCCTGCAGCCGCCCCGACTGACTGCCAGCAAACCAGCCGCACCTCTCTACACTCCCTCCCCTCCCTCCTCCCTCCCCTTCTCCTCCTTTTCCCCTCCCTCTTGTCCCTCCCTGCATCTCTTCCTCGCAGTCCTCTGCTCCCCCCAATCCCCGCCCCGCCCTCTGATTCCCATCTTCTGTCCTCAAAACCTGTCTCGGACAGCTTCCCGGATGAGTTCATGCACTGGCATCGGATTTAGGCCCTGGAAAAGGGCACAGAACATTGTCCTGCTAATGCCCATCGCCCCAGCCCAGCCTCCCCCGCCCCATGCTCCCCTATGCGCAGGGTCTTCTGTGCAGCTGCTTATGCAGAGCAACGGAGAGTGCTTGAATCAGAAGAAAATCTGCCCCTCCTCACGAGGCACCCCTTTAAAAATATTAATAATTAATAAGTTTGTTGGCTACTGTGGGACCTCCCTTCCTTTCTTTTACCATCCTATTCCTGCAGGATCTTTGGGGAGGGAGGCAGAGACAAGGGAACACAGACTTGGTGCATTCTGGTGGCAGGCAGGGGTTGTTAGAGACTCAACTAGAAGCCCACAGACACTCCTTTCATGCAAAATATCCCCCTCATACACACCCACGGACACACATGTTTGCGCACACACACACACACACACACACACACACACACACACACACACACCTCATATAAACAGACTCAGACAAGGACGGATGCATGGACAGACAGGCAGGCAGACAGACAAGCACACCCACACATCAGCAGACCTTCCCCCTGCTCTCACAAGTCACCCTAACCCAACTGCCTCTCCACCGAAACCAGAGGGCTCCATGTGGAAACAGCAGGCAGGATCCAGGGAAGAGTGTACTGCCTTCAACGTCAGCCTCCGTGAGAGGAAATCAAGGCTGGGGAAGTTCCCGGAGTGGCTCCTTTCATTCAGGACAGAGTGGGCTAGGGATGGACGCCAGCCCCCACATCCATGTTTCTTCCCTTCTCCATTCAATCCGACTGAGAAGAGGCAGAGCCACAGGCAATCGCCTCCTACTCCTCAGATCCTTAGAAGCCTCCATCCTTAAGGAGCGCTGTCCCCAGGCTGGGGCCTAAACGATGGGAACTGCCTCTTCTTCTCTATAGAAAACAGCTCCCTCCTGCTCCTTCCTTGACAAGACAAGAGGAGAACCCACTGTGTAGGAAAACCCCGTTCTGGCTGAGAGCTCCTGGTGCCAGCTGTCTTCCAAGGCCAGGCGGATCCTCAGGCTCCCTCGGGTGGACCCTTCAGGTGCTGCACTGGGCTTGGAAAGGAGAGACTATGGGGTGTGTGTGTGTGTGTGTGTGTGTGTGTGTGTGTGTGTGTGTGTAGCTCTAGGTATCCATGGGCTCTCCTTTCTTCTTGGGCCTGGATGGAACAGGTGAAACCCAGGCTCTGCGCTGTCCTTCCGCCCACCCCTCATCAGTAAAGAGACTCGGCCTCCTCAGACAGATATGGTTTATTAATTCAGGCCGGAGGCACCAGGGTGCAGCAGACCGAGTTTGGCACTGGAAGGATCCGCAGGAAGGACACATAGATGCATGACTCTATTTGGGGGCGCTCAGTGGCTGAGTGGTGATCGCCCGCACACCCACCGCTTCACCCCTGGTCAGGAGCCCAATAGCTTCTCCCGCCTCCCTGCCCCATTCCCTCAACGGACGCGAGAGTGTTTGGGGGGGAGGGGTCACGGAGGGAGAAGGGATCCCTGCAGGGGGAGTTCAAGACTGGGGAGGGGCTGGGGTTCTCGTTGGTGGAGGCGGGGCCCCAAGCCGGAGTCAGCCAGCAGCTCTCCAGCGCGACCTAAATGGGGAGGGTAGGCGGCCCGGTGGAGACGCGGGTGTGCTAGCTGCCGGCGTAATCGTTGTAGCCGTCCTCACACCCGTCAAAAGGGCCGGGCGGGCTGCCGGCCTCGCCGCCGCCGTCTGGGCCCAGCGCCGACCGCTCACGCAGGCGCAGCGCGTCGTACAGCCCCTGCGGCGGCTCCTCCAGCAGCACGTCGCGCTCGGAACGCGAGCGTGTGAGGAGGCCCACGTTGCGCAGGAGCAGCAGGACCGGCGCGTAGAGCAGGTTGGCCAGGCCCATGCCGAGGCTGAGCTGCTCGAAGCCAAGAGAGTGGACGATGTGGCCCGCCACGATGGGCCCGAGCGCGTAGGCCACGGAATAGGAGATGTCGGCTATGGCGTAGACGCTGCCGTAGACCGACACGTGGCGCACGTCCACCAGGAAGGCGAGCGTGGGCAGCAGCGCCGTGTCCACCAGCGCGATGCCGAAGCACAGGCCGCAGAGCGAGACGACGAGCGGCGCGAAGGAGCGGCAGGCGGGGACGAGGCACGAGCTGGCCCCGATCACCGCCAGCCCCAGGGCGCCGTACAGCCACTGCAGGTGCGGGTAGCGCGCCGCCAGGCGCACCGTGAGGTAGACGCCCAGCACGTGCGGCACGAAGGCCGGCAGCCAGACCATGCCCATCTCCCACTCGGAGGCCGCCATCGTGTGCTTCATCCACGTGGCTATGGTGGGCTCGAGGAAGGCGAGCGGGATGTTGCAGGTGGTGAGCGCGCCGGCCACCACGGCGATGTAGGGGTCCAGCATGAGGCGGTGGATGGGCGTGCCCACGGGCAGGTTGGCCCGGGCCCGGGCCGCAGCCGAGAAGGGCTTGGCCACCGCCAGCAGCAGCAGCGCGTCGAACAGCGACACGGCGGCGAGCACGAGGAAGGGCACGCGCTTGCCCGCGAACTCGTAGAGGATGCCCCCGAAGGGAGGCGCCACCAGGCTCCCGAAGCTGATGAAGGCCAGCGCCACGCCCAGGGCCCGGCTGCGCTCCGGCTCCTCGGGGTACTTGTCGGCGATCATGGCGATGCCGGACGTGTCGGCGAAGGCCGAGCCCAGGCCCTGCAGGCTGCGCGCCGCGAACAGCGTGGCGTAGTCCTCCGCGAAGGCGAACATGACGGTGGAGGCGAACATGACCCCCAGGCCGATGAGCAGCGGCACGTCGTAGCTCACGCGGTCGATGAAAGGGCCGCTCAGGGGGTTCACCAGAAGCTGCAGGATGGCCTTGGAGGCGAACAGCACCCCGATCTTCACGTCCTCGCTCTCCGTCGGGTAGCGGGGCCGCAGGATCGACCGGGCCGAGCCGGCGGCCGTCGGGGGCGCTGAGGTGTTGGCCAAGTCGGCGCTGGCGTTGGCCGGCGTGGGCGGCGGCAGGGTGGGCTCCCACCCCTCAGAGGCCGGGGTGGGGCCCTCGCTGCCCCCGCGCATGTGGGCGATGTAGTCGGGCACGATGGGCACGATGACCATGTACAGCATGTTGTCCAGCAACAGCGCGACGCACACGATGACCAGCACCAGGCGCCGCTGCCGCCGGGGCTCCTGCAGCGCGGCGCCCACCGCTTCCGACAGCTTGCTGGCCGCCGCCCGGGCCTGGCCGCTCGGCGTGCTGGGCTCCATGCCCCCGGGGGCCGCTCCTCCGAAGGCGCCTCCGCCTGGGTCGGGTGCCGGCGTCCCGCAGTGCGGAGGCCGGGGCGCGGCACTTCGGGGGGCGCGGTCCGGGCCGCCGAGCGCCCCCGGTGCTTCAGGTGGCCGTGGGCTTCATGTCCCCGAGCCCGGAGCGAAGCGAGGGCTGTCCCGCGCGGCGCCGCCGCTCTCAGCGGCTCCGGGGAGCGGTGGCTTCGGGTGCAGGCGCGGAGGCCGGCCCGCGGAGGCGCCGAGGAGGGAGGCTGGACGCGCGGTGGCCGGCGAGCGCAGGAGCAGCCCCCGCCGCGCGCAGAGGCCGTGTGCGCCCGCCCAGGGGCATGCTGCCGCTGCCCGCCGTCTCTCCAGCCCGCCTCGGCGCTCCCCTCCCCGCGCGTCCGCTCTCGCCTCTTTCTCCGCCGCCGCCTCTTTTTTTTTTTTTTTTTTTTTTTTCCTCCCTCCACTTGGGGCTATGACGCGGTGAGTCTCGGCCCCCGAGTGGTGCCCGGGCCACTGGCGTCGCTCATGCTAATGCGACGTCGTCGGGGCGGGGGCCGGGGGCGGGGCGCGTCCGGGCAGGGGTCCACTTCCCGGAGGCGCTCAGGCTGGAAGCCAGGGGAAGGGGGTCTTGGCCATCAAGAGTCCTAGACAAGCCCCTGGGGATGGGTGCGCCGCGGGAGGAACCGGCCCTTCGGTGCCCTCCCTCCCACCCTATAGTTCTGAGATCCACGGGAGTGAGGCTCCGTCTTCCCCCACTTGGGAGGAGGGGTACGGCAGCCGGTGCCCCGCAGCGTGGTGGGAGACGAGGGAGCCGGAGGCTCTAGACCTGGACCTCGGCGCACAGCGGGCACGGAGCCCCCGAGGTGAGCCGCGCCGCCTCCATCTGTCCTCACAGCTGGAACGCGCAGCCGGGGCGCAGAGGCGTGCAGCCCCCTTCCTCAATCCCGCCCCCAGCCCCTCGCATCCCCTCCTCCGGGGAGGGAGGGGGAAGGCACAGAGCCTTCGGGGTCTGGTTCCGACCCACCTGCCCTTGGGCAGAAAGTCTTGGCAGTGAATTCCGGACTGTGAGCATGTGAGGACTGAGTGGAGGAGCCGTTCCCTGCACCCAGGGTCCTAGGTGCCCGCGCTAACCCCTTTTGACCTCCCCCACGCCTAGACTCTCCCTTTCCGCTTTCCTAGGCGCCGGCCCCTACCCCACCCCCACCCCTAGCTCCGCCTATTTCTCTTTTCTTTCTCCTCTCCCCCCTCACACCAACTCCTCCCAGGTCCTCTTCTCTTCAGACCAAACCCTCCCTCGGCTCTTGCGAGCCTCCGCCCACTTTTCTGCAATCTCTAGCACCGCATCCCCCGCGGCGGCCTCCGAGCCCCGAGTGGACTCACTGGTGGTCTGGTGCTGGTAGGAAGCCCTGCGTGGAAGCCTCCGGGTCTCCTGCGGCAGGGCCTCCGCAGCTTCGCTGTCAGTAGAGGCTTAGGAAAGCTCACCTTCCTTCCGGGAGCGCTGCACAGTCTGAGACTCCTGGTTTGCAGCTGTCAGTCTGAACAGATCGGCCTATGCTTTGGGCCCGGTGTGTCCTCAGATGAGCTTTGGCCGTAGATGGCACGTGAGGCCGGTGTTGCACCCCACAAACTGGCAGGAGAGACGCTATCAGTCAGCTGAGATTGGGGTGGGGGCAATGTTGAGATTGCACTTCCTCAATCTTCTGGAGTCACAGGAGCCTTCAGATTCTAAGCCAGGGCATGCAGCTTCCTCCAGGCATCAGGGTATCCGGACTACAAGGGGCAGACAGATAGGGTGGCTCCCGGCCCTGCCACTTACTAGATAAAAGTGCCAGAGGAGCTAGTGTTTTCTCCTTCTGCTCCACTGTCCTTTTATTTATCTGGAAAATGGAAGAGTAGTACCTACAGCTGAGAGCGTGGTACACACATAATCGAAACATCAGTGTTTGCTGGTATTGTCGTAGCATGTGCTGCTTTATGTTCATGTCACACTGGAGGGTCTTGTGAAGGGCAGGCCGATGCCAGGAGCACCCTGACTCTCTAGCTTATCCCTCGGATTGGGTAGACATTGTGAGTCTTGTCTGGGGTGGTGGAAAATACAGAAAGGACTGGAAAGTTGGCTTCTGTTCTTAAGCCAGCAGCAACATGAGGTGATGGAGACCGCAACGTCAGGGTGAGAGGCACAGCCTCATGGTCTAGTACCCAACCTCTCCACCCACACACAGGTACCTATGAGAGAGAGAGGAAGCCATCTGATTAGGGCACTGCCGTCACATGTGATGGCACAGCTGCCCTCGAAGTGAGGGAGGAGGCCATGGCTGTGGATAGCGTTGGGCAAGTCACGGCCCCTCCCTGGCCCACTTCGCCTCTGTTCACTAAGAGGTTACCAAAATTCACATTGCAGAAAGTGACGGAAAAACTTCTTTAACTATTACCCCACAGGCTTCATTCGTAGCACACTCTCCAGCAACTAGTTCTCCGTCTGCTTGCTTCATGAACTTTCGTCACCTGCCTGGCTCTCCAGACCCTTGAGTTTAAGAACTCTGAGCTCCTCTGACTTTTGAACAAAAGCTTCACTCATGGTTTTTAAAGAGGTGTCCCCAACCTATGAGGTAGTGATTATTTGGCCATATATTGTCGTTTTGAATAAAATAAGAAGGCAGGAGAGTGGAGGCACGAGTTTTCTTTCTAGTTGGTGAATGGACAGTAGAATCTTCCAGAAAGAAGACTTCTTACTGCTAGCAAGCAGCAGACTTGTCTTTCAGCTCTCCACCCCACATAATAGCCGATAGCTGATCCTGAGAATGAAGCCAATTCATCTTGGGAGTTATGCCGGACTCTCAGCTCCGCTGTTCCTGGGTGATAGGATGCAGACTAACCTGTTCTGTGAAAGGGCCACGTGGGTGCTCGCCCTTCATCCTCCCTCAGTCCTGGTACAGTGCAGACACTAACCCTCCCTCCCCAAAGGGATGTAGGCATGGAGAAAGAAGCTGGTCCCTTGCCGAGATCCCGGACTGTTGATGGCGTGTCTTCGTCTTTGTGCAGCATCCCTTTTCCTTGTGTTTCATTATGCCAGTGTCACTCTACCTGCAACGTGGTGCACCTTGGTAGGGTAAGGGCAAGAGGGAGATAAAGACTGGAGTGAGAAAGGTACCTAACATTCTTTAGCTTCCAAATAAGAAGGCAACAGCCTTCCCATTTGGACTGCAGTACAGGGGTTACAGGCAGGGGAGGATTCCCTTCAGCAAAAAGCTCCCCCTCCCAGATGTGCCAGGGCACAAGAAGAAAAATGTCCCTGTTGGGCCTAGGAGCTCGCTGGAACTGTCCGTGGTCCTGACCAGTTTGTAGCCTGGCAGCCGGCCTTTCCAAGGGCCCCATTTCTGCTATGTTTCTGTGCCTGTGGATTTTTCCTCACCCTAGTGCTTGGTAAACTCCTTTCCCGAGACTTCTGTATTTGAATATAACTTATAGACAAGAGGAAATTTCCTATTCAATCCTGGAGGAAAAGTAGCAGCACCTTTTCTCCTTTCCCTTCAGCATGTAGAAGCTGTCACTACAATGTAAGTTGACTGAGTGAAGGAAGGAATTTATTTATTAAATCTGTAAAAAAGAGCTAGCAATGCGACAGGAAGTATGGTAAGCACGTGCTAACTCACTTAACCATCTCACCAACCTTCATAGTACCTTTCCGTTTGGGGGGTAATTCATCCCGCTTGGCTCTAACTGCCATGTCCATCTCCTCTCGCTGTGCCATCCAACAGGACAGGCAGCACAGGAAGTCCCCACACAACCCTAGGGCCCAGTGCTTGGTACTCGGTGGGAGCTTCATTAGTACCTTGAATTTCCTCAGGCAGCTCGGTGGTTTTGCATGACAACCTTTCTTCTCATTTTATTCAGTGGACACAGCTGTGGCCTTAGTCTGATAAAACAAAATCTGTTCCATTCTGGATCAGTGCCACGGGGAGCTGGGTGCAGAGCTGGGAGCTCTGATGTGGGGGAGTCTGGAGGCAGGATGGAGAGAGAGCCGCTGTGCAGCCGTGCTTTCTTGAGGTCATGGGTCTGAAGGTGCTGCTGTGGAGGGAGGGGCCAGCCTATTCTGGCTTCATTTCTGAGATGGTCAAAGGGGCCACATTGGCCTCAGAGCCTTACCATATTGTTGCTTCTTGGAGAAATTCATCCCAGAGATGCAAACTGCCTGGGTGTCTGTGGAGACGCAGGTTGGTGTGGTGGTTGGGCGGTGTGTGGGCGGGGTGCCTGCTCTGATTTATTATTTCTTTGTCTCCGTGGAAGCACTTAAGCGCAGGCTTGGTTCCAATGATGCTCATGAGCCTCTGGATTCCAGCACTGGAGGGGGGGGTAGGGTGTTCTCAGGCCTCACCAACCCCTCCCCTGAGTGCTGCCTTGGGAGGGCCCCAGGGCTTCAGCATTAATTAATTTAGGCCTCCACAGCCACATATTCTCAGATTCAAAAGAACAGAGTGGCCCGTGTCATCCTTTCCCGGAAACCTGTGAGTCTGGTGGCTAGAAGCCAGAGGACTATATGTCTGCCTGGCTGCCCTTGGCCAGCCCATCCTGAGAGCCCAGACTTGGGCAATGTAGTGGGCACAGTAGGGCAAAGGACAGACTTCTACACGGTGAGTTGGATCCTGATCTGCTCTCTACGGCACCCAGAGAAAGGGCCTGCCCAATTCGTGGCTTTTTGACTTGTAGATACCTCACATGTATTCTGATAGGAAGCCAGGCCTCAAATCACTTTGGTTTTAACCCTCATGTTTTCTTTTCATTTCAATTCAATGGGTCCTACAGGTTCATTTCCCTCTTCAAAATTTGCCCGTAGCCAATGGTTTTCAACCTGTGGATCATGATCCCTTTAGGGAGATCCAATGACCCTTTCACAGGAGTTGCCTAAGACCATCAGAAAACACAGATATTTACATCAAGATTCATAACAGCAGCAAAATTACAGTTACAAAGTAGCAACAAGCTTGGTGTGCCAGGCC